GCAGCTGGAGTACTGCATCCAGTTTTGGGCTCCACAATTCAAAAAGGATGTGGAGAAGCTTGAGAGAGTCCAGAGAAGAGCCACGTGCATGATCAGAGGTCATGAAAACAGACCTTACGCCGACAGGCTGAGAGCCATGGGGCTCTTTAGCCTGGAAAAGCACAGGCTCAGGGGTGATCTGATGGCCACCTATAAATTTATCGGGGTGACCACCAGTATCTGAGGGAACGTTTGTTCACCATAGCACCTCAAGGGATGACGAAGTCGAGTGGTCATAAACTACTACAAGACCATTTCAGGATGGACATAAGGAAGAACTTCTTTACTGTCTGAGCCCCCAAGGTCTGGAACAGCCTGCCATCATGGGTGGTTCAAGCACCTACATTGAATACCTTCAACAGCAAATTGGATGCTTAGCTTGCTGGGATCCTATGACCCCAGCTGACTTCCTACCCTTTGGGCGGGGGGCTGGACTCTATGATCTTCCGAGGTCCCTTCCAGCCCTAATGTCTATGAAATCTATGAAAAGCCATCTACAGCTCAACCTCCCATGGCCCTACTTTCCTGCAATTGCAGGATGGTTTGACACTCCTCAAAGACAATTAATCTATCCAAGCTAGATGGAAAGAGCACTTTGAAGCACTCCTGAACTGTGAGTCAACTGGCAGATACCACCATCAAGTCCATCTCCCAACAGCATAAAACAGAATCCTACCTTCCTACCATAGAAGAAGTCTGGTATACCATCAAGAAAAACAAGAACAAGAAGGCTATTGGACTGGATGGCATACCCGCTGAAATCTATAAAGTCCCTCACTGGCAGCAAGGAACTAGTACTGAGACACCACAAATGTGGGTGTCCAGAAAAGTACATCAAGGTCCTGAGGTTTCTCCATGACTAGATGACCGTGACCATTCTATGTAGCATATCAGAGACAGATCCATTTGTCTTCTGAACTGAAATCAAGCAAGGACATTTCATGGCCCCAACTCTGTTCTCCATTTTTTTACAATCATCCTGGCTCTCATTAAAGACTGCCTTCCTTTCAGAATTGACATTGAATACTGAATGGATGGAGGGCTCTTCTGAGATGTTTTCGCTCAAAGACCAAAGTACTTATAAACAACCACTCTTGACTTTCAATACACTAATGACTGCACCATCCTTGTACACACTGAGGAAAACCACCAGTCTGTACTGGATCTCTTGGCAGAAGCCTACTAAACTTTGGGCTTCTCTCTCAACATCAAGAAGACTAAAGCGCTCTATGAGCCTGCCCTGGGTCATGAATGTGATCCTCCTCCACAAATTACCACTCAGGGAAAGACCTTGGAGGTAAGTTGAGCACTTCCCCTACCTCGATAACCATCTCTTTCAGAGAGTGAGCACTGATAAGGAGATCTAGCATAGGATCCAGTGCACAAGTGCCTCCTTTGGGAAATTGTTTTGGTATGTCTTTATTCATTGCAATCACCAGAAAGACACCTAGAACCAGGTCTACAATGCAGTCATCATCCCCACCCTCCTCTATGGATGTGAAACCTATCATTGTCATCTCAAGAGCGTGAAGAGGTTTCACCAATGATACCTCTAGAAAATCCTCCATATCAAATAGGAAGATCACTAAACAAATGCCAGCATCCGTGCTGAAGCCAATGTTACCAACATCGATTCAGTGATCCTGAAATGCCAACTTCACTGGACCAGATATTGTGTGCACATGCCTGACTCGACTCCCAAAATAAGTCCTCTACTCCCAGATTAGTAACGGTGTTAGATCTTGCAGTGGCCAGAGTCAATGCTACAACAACACACTGAAGCCATACCTAAAGATAATGACTCCAGTGGTGCCTCAACCTCAACCAAACTGCAGCCAGTTTTGAGGTAAAGTGTCTTGTTCTTGAAGCAGAGAAGAAAGAGCAGAGGAAGGAAAAGGAGATGAACTCCAGCCTACAGCCTTCTCTCCCCTGCAGAAAGAACTGCAACTTCTGCAGATGGATCTGTGGCTCAAAGATTGGACTCTGAAGTCACCTCAAGACCCATCAGTGAGCTGTGGTAGAAATCATCCTTGAATTGAGGGATTGCCATTTCTGCCGCTGGTGATAACAAGTGTTGTTTAGCAGCACAAAAGGTGCAACGTAGGTGCTGAACTCTGTGAATGGCAGGAGAATACCTGAAGCCAATCAGCATGGAAACATGGAGGGACCAATGACTCCAGATGCAGAGCACCTCTTCTTTCCTAACAGAATAACAAAGGTTTTGCACACATGAATGATGGCGAACAATGAAGATGAGCAACAACAACCATGGTACCTCAGGGACCTGCCTAGGGGTTTATAATCAACCTGCCAGAGTTGATAGACTGAACAATCAACTATGGAACTAGACAATCTCATCCTAGCCTGTAGAATGCATCTATAAGATATGAATAGGACCTTATAGACACATCAGGAGGATGGAGGATACCACACTGTATAAGAATGCCAACCCATCCTCTCTCTGATGTTGATATTTCAAACAACAATAAACAAGCAAATCTTAACACATCCAACTGATGGTGCAATTCATATTGTAAATGATAGGGAAAAAACCCTCCTGACTTCTGCAGTGACAGGCTGCTGTCCTGAAGCATGACGTTTGAGTAAGACATTCACAAATGCCACTTACAGCTTTAGCGATATTCTGGTTCCAATCTTGTCCAAAGGAAACCACTGGGAGATTTGCCTGAACTTCAGTGATCTCATTTTATGTAATCAGGTGGAAAAGAAAAGACTCATTCATTCAACCCTTAATCTTGTATTTCTGTTATCATATGTCTCTTTTAACTTCACTTTTCTAGGCTAACTTTCTATAGGCTGAGTTTGAAGAAACTAAGATTACTCTGCTTCATTACTGCCATGCATCCCTTTCAAGGTTTGAAATTAATTTTGTTAAAATATTTAAGGGAAAATTGCCCAATTTTTGTAAAACTTATACTCTTTAGGAGGCCTCCTGTTTTACAACCTCCTACGCCGAGAGGTTATTTTTGTTTAAAGAGCACATGCAAATGTCTCTCACCTCAAATGCTTGGAACGCGATCCCTACATGAAACCCTTCAGAAACTGTAATCTTCCATATGCACTCTTTGGAAGGTCTGTAGTCATCTGGATAATTGGGAGACTGAATCTGGCCAGCATCTTTCTGTATTTCTCCACCACAAATAGCTTCATAAAAAAAACAGTGCAGATACGTGGTTATACATTTTCTCCCACTCAATCTGATTTTCCAAGGTTTCTCCAAAGCACATCTTCTCTTTCAAATTCATACTGACACAATTTATCTCATGAGCCAAACTTATTATGACAGGTGGTAAAAATCTAACCGAGTTCCTCCTCCTCTCTCAATGACTCTCATATTGCTGCATCAGTCTCTCAGAGGTAAGGCTTATTTTAATATCCAGACCTTGTACACCACTGGACACTCAAATTAACAGTCATTATGATGATATAGCAAATAAATATTAATTACCAACATCAACTGTGCTGTAAATGAAAACCTGCCACTAGATGGCACTATTAGCAAACATTATGCAAGACCTTAGTCGTTAGTAGGGGTTCCTATACCTCCCTGGGGCGGGGAAGATGTGCCTAAAGAAGCCTATTTAATGCAGATTTATTGAATATATTCTCATACAGATTGCATCTGAAGGTGCCCTATAAACTAAGAATCCTGGTACAAGAGTAATTTCTTTATGCAGGCAAGAAGGTGAACAGGACAGCAGCTTCCCAAAGAGTACATAGAGTTGGGACTTGGAAAGGTAAAGAGAAATGAAGCTTGGGGTCATGCTGGAGACAGGGAGAAACTTTTCATATTGGTAAAAGAATCCAGTCAAGAAAAAAAAGTTGAAGTTGAGTGCAGGACTAGGCAATCATCAATTTAACTATCAGTACAAGGGCATATATAAAGTACTTCTTTTTCAGATTGCCTTTAAAATTTAACTTTATTTTGGTCTGCTTTTTTTTTTTAAATCAGCCAAGAATACAAAAATACCATTTCAAATCCCAGTGTAACCTCCACATAGGGTCTCCAGCTGGGCTGGTACAGCACTAAATTTTGGTCAGTTATCATTATTAATAGTTACTAAATTTTCAGTGAATTTGCTTCCAATTCCCACCCCCACCAAATTTGCCAATAGAATTTGTTCAGTTACTAAAGGCCCCCACACAATGCCAACCATATTTTCAGTATTTTTCTACAAAAAGTTTGAAAAACCATTTCACTTGAAGATAAAAATTTGATAACGCATTTAAATTCAGGGTCAAAATTTTCAATTTTGAAAAAACCCCCTCAGATTCCAGCAAAATAACATCTTTGCTTAAATAAATAAATAAATACAGTCAATTAGCAAAACTGCAGACCCAAAGGACATAACTTTCAACTTCTCTGTTATCCTAGACGACTGTGCTATGACATATTCTGTTTCCCAGCAGTCCCCGAGAGGCCAGCAGGAGAATATTAGCCTCTTAGAGTCACTGAACCAAAATAAAGTGAACTTGAAAGGAAATAGATGGCTCTAAATTTTACATATAACCCTTAATGTGAGTTTCCCTTTAAATCATTATGTTTGAGGAACCTATAGGGTCTTCATCTTGAAAGGGCCTCATGGACCATAGGCCTGTTTAGGAATCTGGTTGGTTGATCTCAACCATACACACTGAAGGGGTTTGCAAATTCTGCAATCCCTGCACAACCTCGGAAATATGAGTGGGTGTAGAGCTGCCTTCTGCAGTTAGATAGGTTTTAAACTAGTGCATAAAATAAATTGTAAACCACTTGTTAGATTCCACTGCAGGACCAGGTCTGTAGACCGTGCAGAATGACACAGTCCTGCTAGCACTTAGCTAAAGATCTTACCTTCATAAACCACAAAAAAGCCCTTTCCGAGGATGTTGCTGCTGCTCCGGAACTCAATCCACAGCCTGCTATCCGTGGAAATTATTGGCTCAGGGACTTTATCACCACAAAATCTACCTAGAAGGCAGGAAACAGATGATCAAGATCTCTCCATGGACAGGTGAGAGTGCTATGGGCAATGGGAAAAATGGCATAAAATCACCTGCAGTTCCAGAGAGTCAGGGTAAAGGTAAATTTACAGCACACTTTCACTCAGATGACAACTTGGATCTTAAAAAAGGGAGTCAACTTTATTTGTATTCTCCCCAAAGAGTTTAAATTCCACCTAGGAACAAAGCCTATCATTCACAAATGTTGGCCTGGTAAAATTAACATATCCAAGAGCTTTACAAAATCTCAGGATGAAGCAGTTGGGTCATTAATTATGGCAGGTGATGAAATGGTAGGGAGTAAAACAGCATGAATAGAGGACTTAGATAAATAGGAGATGATGCTGGAAGCAATTCATTATGATTATTTATTTGTGTTACACAGCGTCTAAGAGCCTCAGTCCTGGACCAAGATCCCCAATGTGCACGGTGCTATATAAAACCAGAGCAAAAAATTAACTGTACAACAGCAACCTCCACCCCAGGTCATGGCACTATTTTGCCAGGTGTAAAAGTCTATGGCAAGAAGGAGTCCTGTCCCACTACGCTGGGAATCTAACTAAACAAGACAAAAAGGGTGGGTGAAAAGAATCTCAATCAATGAGAACCAAATATGCAGAGCTCCCAGATGGCTTTGAAAATCTCAGTCTGGCTGCCAAAAAAAGAAAAGAACCATCCCTTTCCTTCTATAATTCTGGTATTGAGGGGAAATCCTTTCTTCATGCCAGATATGGCAATCACTTCCATGCAAGATGGAATAATCTTAGTTACACACTTCTTCTTACTGAGGTCCCTGGAGTACTATGGTCCTTTGGTTTTCATTACCTAGAATACGTTCACTGTATGGTTAAGATAGCTGGATATTTCTGATAAGTGTCAACAGAAGTACTGGTAAGGTAACGCTACTGAACTGTACAGTTGTGAACTGCTATTTTCCACAGCAATCTTAATAATAAATTATGATAAAAATTGCTTATGTTTCTATAGCCTGTTTCAGGAAGAAGACTCCTCAAAGCACAGGTCAAACAGTAACTGTGTTTCAAGGGTACCTATTGCCACGTGGTTCTTTCCTTCACCTGACAATGGCAACGTAATACACTGAATACAGCGGGGTCTGGGTTTGTTCCTCTTCTGCAGCAGTAACTGAATACCAGTTTATCCAATTGAATCTGTAGTGGGGAACGTAATTATCCAGACTGGAGTTTGGGCAGGGAATAAGGGTTGCAACTCGAGGCCTTGTAGAAAACAATCCAGGGGCTTGCTGGTGACCTCAAAAGGTCAGAGCTTGGTTCTGCATCTCAGGTGAAAGGTGGCACATTAGTATCTCCTAACTACTGCATTACTGGTTCTCATTTCAAGCCTTTTGTTTACACCAGGGAAAAAGATGGATGTTTTTAACACATTTGCTAATGCAGGCTAAATGAAATCTCAGGATAGAGAAGGCAGTTGTAGTCTTAATGCATGTTAGTCATTCAGTGTGAATACTAGAGCTCTCCTAGGTGTGTTACAAACACCATTTCCTAGCCAGGACAAAGATACCAAGGGAATAGCACCATCAATTGAACCACAGCTCAACCTGCTATAACATGGTCTTTTCTGTGGGTGTTTCCGAGCCAAATACTAACACAAACCTTGCTCTGCTTAGCTGCTGAAATCCAACAAGCATATGTCCCAGAAGTGAATGGCTTTAAACACATGTATATTCCAAATAGGTCAGGGGTCATTACAGTAGGACAGAAATAAATAGCAATACAGCTGCTTTTCTTTTTCTTCCTCATAGGAACAAATACTAACAAACAGTGTTGACACTTGCAAGGTTCCTCTCTCTAGGGTCACTGAGCAACTGCCTCTTGGATTTAGTCATTGAGTTCAACAAGGATGTCAAGAAGAGGAAATGCAGATGAGGAAGCTAGAATAAGTGAACTCCTTGGAGTTCGATAAAGGGCCCATTCATAAAAAAGTTATGCACCATTTAAGGCTGGGTTTTCACACACTTCCCTGGGAAAATATGCAGGGCACTTTTTTTTTTTTCCAGGCGAAATACATGCTTTCACAATTCATGCTAATCCTCTTCCCCACCCCCCTGCCAGCCCACAACCGGCCTGCCTCTTCCTAACTAATTTCATGGGACCGACCCCTTGCAGGGGCCATGGCAGTTCACACAACAGAAAGGTTTACAAATCCAACTATGTTTAAGGAGATTTTTCATTTTTAAGCACTTAAACGTTTGACAGAAAAACCAAAGTGCTCTAAGTCATGGCTGCTGGAAGGATGTGTGCACTTGCCCACAGTCACCCTTGCAGCAGAGAGCAAGTGCCAAGGACACTCTCCTCTGGGGAGGGGAGCACTACTGCTCCAATTAGAGGGAGACCCCCCCACAAGCCTTCCTCTGCTGTTGAATCTCTCAGTGCCAGACATCTAACCTAGAGAAGAGCACTTTCCCACCAATAAAATCCTTTACTAAAGGGCCTAATCCTCTTCTGCAAAGCACAGGTGCAGCGTCACAT